CCCGAAGTCGACGACTCAAAGGCCGCCCCCTCCCGACGAAGCTCCTTGACGAACCCGTAGCCCATGACCGACGGCCCCCCATCAGACAGCGACTGACGTATCCTTTGCTTGCAGTAGGTAGGATATGAACTACGCGGCGCCCTCGAGGCCCCAAAGGGCCTGACTTGCGCAATCTACAAGCAGAACTAGCGCGCCAATACAGCGTCGTTTGCTGGTGCTTGCGGATCTTGGCCAAACCCGCATTCGCAGGGAACTTAAACGCGTCGGTGCGCGCGGGCTCCGTCGAGGCACCGGCTCCCCGAGCTTGCGGGGCGCCCTTGCGAGGCTGGGGCAAGAAGCGCATATGCCACAGCTCCAAGGGCGCAGCCCCCATGGGAACCGTTTTTTCCTAGCCCGAATAGTGCGCCACAAAATTGCCGAGTAATCCTCGTGGGCCAACTCAAACAACCCATGATCGGAGTGCCATGGGAATTGGCCCTCCTGGTCTTCACGAAGTACCGACCAGTCAACGCGCGCCACCGACATGCCGCCTTCGCGGCCTGGGAGAGCCCGGACCTCATGCCCACCCCGAGCAGGAAGGGGACCAGGGCGCGTCAAGGCTCCGTCTCTCTTTTTTGGTCCCATCCTCGGTCTCGCCTCCATGCGCGTGAGTTGCATGGGTTCAGATGCCCGCCTCTGCCACCACGTGTCGTTCGCCTCGTCGAGCAGCTGTTTCTGCCGGCGCCGCTGGTGTTGTCATCGCGGCCAGCTGTTCGTCTATTTCCTTCGCCTCCTCCTTGCTGCCCCCGTACATTCCCGCGCGGACCCCGACTGGTCGCTGCCATAGACAGCGCCGCCCAGCGCAGTGCTTGGAATAATCTGCACACAAAGGAAGCCGAGCAGCCTTCCAGAAGAACTCTTCGCCCGCCTGGGTCAAGCGCCGAAGATCTCGCCAGGCGAAGCGCTATCCCGCATAAAGCGTGGGCCCACTGAACGTTATGAATCCCGCACCTCCCCAAAAAACTCTCGCTTGTGGGTGCCCCTCTGGAAAGCCATCATCAGAGCATCTCGGTCCCATCTCAGAGGTGGGTCTTGCTGAACTTCAGGAGTATACTTAGCATAGTGCACCACGCAAACCAATGGTAGGTGATCATGCGGCGCAGCGCCTCTCTGTAGTTGAAGCTTCGCTCCCAATCGTGGTATCGCGTCGCGCGCGGTCGTAGAAGAATCCATGTAGGCAGGGTAACTCAGATAGTCAGTCCTGGGGCTATATGTGTCTCCATAGAAAGTTGGAGAGCTTCTCCGGCCAATTGTGCTGCCAGCCACCAGTCGGTGTTCTTCCAGTACTGCGCGGAGCAGTGCTCCTGCTCCATCCTCGTGGCGTTCCAGGGTCGGCACACCAATCGCTCTTCAACATAAGTCCACAGTGTCCGCGCCTTTCTTCCGCAGCCCCATGCCGTCATTCAAATCACAGAGAGGGAATGGAATTGAACGCGTCGGTGTTTGCATCAGAATATCTCGACCAGTTTCGAAAAATTTTCACTGCCTGAAAGTGAGCCCGCTTCTTCTGCAGTCGAAGGTCTCGGGGAGGAAAGTAGATAGCAATCAGAGTTAAGTCCTGGCGCCCTCGCTTCACTCTGACCGCCGAGGCCCTACCCCGAGCCTGTTGTGGTGAACGCCAGCTCGTCACAATATGGTCCTCCCTCAGGCCTCCGCCAAGCACGATCGCACATCCACAGCTTGACTTGGCGTGCGGGCTCGGCCCGAAGGGAGCTTCGAGCAGTACTCTGCCTGCTACGTGTCTGCGAAGTACCTGACTGCCTGTGTAGTTATGGCGGTACTCTACTGATTGAGTGCCCGCCAGCAACACCGCGTCGAAATTTCTGAGCTCCGTGACAAGATCCTCTTGCCTCGCTCCCGTGCAGCTCTGCGGGTTCCAACCAAGGATTCTCAACTTATGCATCCGCGCTGAATCGCATCATGCGTGTCTCATGTCGAGAAACACTCTGGCAGGAAGCAGGTGTGCGTGAGCAGCTGGCCCACGTGCAATCCTTGGCTTGAGTCGAGGGCTCACGAAAACGGCCCAAAAGGTTTCCAAGACAGCGAAGACAGCGCCAGGGAGTTCAACAGCAGTCCCGACAAATCTTCGAAGCGCGCCACTTGTATCCAAGAAGCCGCTGGCCTACAGCTAAGCCACGACCGCAAGTGTTGACGCTCCTTGCATGTAGGGACTGTCTTGGGGACCCTGCCCTGAACGAGCCTCCGATGTGTATAGAAGGGGCAAATACGGAAACGTAGAAAACATCAACTTCCTTAAGGTTTTCGGTGATTCGGAGCCCTCCGACTGCTGGGGGTCTGCGAGAGTACACTGGTGGGGGTCGGGGCGAGTTTGAAAACAAAAAAATTGTGCGAAATCCTTTTTTCAAATTTCCAGGCCTGGGCTATGGGTGACACGACACCTGGATCTTTGGGGTCTTCGGGGGCCTCTTGCATAGCTGTTGGTGCCTCCTGGGAGCCTCCAGGGGGCGCCTCGGGAGCCTTTGGGATAACCTCGGGGCCCTCATAAGGCGAAGCGCTCGAAAGTCTTGGGGAGGCCCTCTCTTTGTGTTCGCTCTTGGCGCCCTCGCTGAAGTTCTAGCTAGGCTTGATCGGTGAACTCATGGGATCTCGATGGTTGACTGCCTTTCTCCGGGGCAGGCAAGAGGAATCGAAGACGACCCCAGAGAGATCCAAGACGGCATTAGAGAGTTCAACAGCATTCCCGGATAATATGTGACAGCTGACCCAAAGTCTTGATAGGGCAGGGGACGAAAATCGGGAAACAAAAATCGTTGGAACTCTGTTTTTTTCCAGTCGGGCCTCCTACCATGTAATGCGCAAGAATCGGGGGGGGCCTAAGAGGCCTGCAGGGGGCTCCTGGGAGGCAGTGTTGAGACCCCTCCGGGGCTGTGTTTGGGGCCTCGTGGCTTTTTGGGGAGGGGCTCTCAGGGGTCTGGCGTTGGTTGAGGACATCTTCCGAGAGGCCCCCGGGTGGCCCCAAGGGGGTCCCGAGAGGCCTCCAAGATGCCTCCTCCTCTTCCTCCTCCTCCTCCGTGTCCTCCTCTTTCCTCTCCTCCTCCTCCTCGCCCAGTTCCTCGCTCAAGTGTTGTCCCTAAGGTTCCAGCAACTGCTAAGGAAACACATAGCCGATTTAACATCTTAGACCGGCCTTGGGCTGACTGGTGGCCGCACATGCAACTCCAAACAGCAAAGAAGCGGCAGTGGTTCGCAGCAGGCTCCTTCGATAATGAAAAACGAGCACACCAACACATAGGTGCGGGCCAAATCGTGAGGAACACTCGAAGGCCATCTTGGCCATCAAGCCTTGGCCATCCAGAGTCCTAGCTGAGCCGTCTCGAGCCTGGACCAACAAAGGCCTTGAGCTGCCTTACTCCCCCCCAAAACTCCACCACCTCTCCCCCTTATCTCCCTCCTCTCTCTCACATTGGTTGGTCCCTCTCTTGTGTTTTTGTTTTTTTTGTGTGTTATTTTTGTTTCTCTCTCTCTCTCTCTCTTTCTCGGTGTCCCTTTCTCTCGCACACTTTTAATATCACCTTCCCCTGGCTCCTTCTAGGATGTCGTCCACTTCGCGTCCTCTTGCCATCAGGTGCCCAATCTTCCTCTTCTGCCTCATCCTCCTCCTTCTCCTCCTCCTCCCCTTACCCCCCTTCCAGGCCCCCCTCTCTTGTCCAACCCTCCGCCTACTCCTCCTGCCTCCTCCGCATCCGTGGTCCCCGGAGGGTCTGGACCTCCACCCCGGGGCGGCCTCTCCATCCCACAACTATGCTTCTGATAGCCCCAAGGCCCGGGGAGGTCGAACATTTCCAAAAATCTGTCGGTCGAGCGCTGCTGCAGCGCGAGGACGTCCGTTCTCGGGCCACACCTCGGGCCCCGGGCGGCCCTCTCGGGCGGATTCGGGCATCCCCAGAACGCCCCGGGCGAGGCGCAGCTGCTGGAAAGCACTCCGAGGCCCGAAGCTTTGCAAAAAAAACCTCCAATGAACGAAGGATTGCAAAAAAACCTCGTTTGAACGAAGGTTTTTTTTGTTGCAATCCTTCGTAAAGGTGTTTTTTTGCAATCCTTTTTTTGAAAACCTCCAAGAGGCGACGGAACTTCAGAAGATCGCAGAAACACACATACCTCCGCCGTGCTTTCGTTCACGACCCTAGGGTGTCGGGGTCTACTCCCCCTGGGAGGGCCTCGGTGATACGCCACTTCGTTTCGTCGGCCAACGAGCTCGGTGTTCGTACGCCCCAGCCGCCCAACCCGTAGGGCGCTCGAGCGTCTGCACTCCGAATTCATTCGCCGAGCTCCTTGGCTCGCCGGCTGACCAACTGGTAAAGGCTCGGGATGCGCACAGGCGCCCCCCCCCCCCCCTGGGTAGTCCTGGCTGGCCTCAGCAGGCCGCCTAAGCAGCCGTGGGCGGTCTCAACACCCCGAGCCCAGCCAGGACTACCTGGGGGGGCTGCCTCGGCGGAACCCGAAGCCTGGCCAGACCAAACGGTGTGGTTAGGGTCGGGGCCTTTGCCTGGCGTGTCGCGGCGGTGGCCCATGCGGCCCTGACGACACGCTATGCCATGCTAGCGGATACCGTGTCGCTCCGCTCTGCGGGGCGAGAAGCTTAGCAAAGCTCGGGACGTTGACGTCCGGGGACCGTGAAGTGGTGAGGGCGTCGCGCATGAGAGTGGTGGGCCAGAACCGGCGAAGCGATACGCTAAGCTAACGAGTGTGACCCGTATGCTCGGCGGTGCCCCGGGTGGGAAGCGAGAGAGATTAGGCCTTCTCAGAAGGCGGCGGGGCTTCTCGCGGAAGCTCTCGCGCCTGCCGAGAAGCAATCTCTGCCTTCGGAGAAGGCTAGGACAACCTCTCAGAGGGCTCGAGGCCCTCCGAACCTTCTTGGAAGGCCCACCCTTTTCTCACTTCCCCCCGAGGGGCTCGCCGCGGATGTGCGTCGAGGCCCTCCGACCGCCCCCCGCGGGCTCCTGCTCCGAGAACTCGCCCAGCCTGGTCCGTGCGGAGCGCGCGGCGCCGAGGAGCAGCCCCCTGCTGCCGCACGCGCACCTGGGCCCGTGCGGCGTGGCTCGCTGCGCGCTTGCAGCGCGGCGACGACACTGTCGTCCTCGTCCCTGTCTGCAGCCTGGCCTCAGTCTGCTCCTGTCCTCATCCTCCTTTTCCGCCTGTCCTCATGCTCCTCATCCTACGAGCTGCAGTAGGGTGGGAGCGAGGGGCGAGAGCACCTCCCACCCTTCCCCTTCTAGTCCCTCTCTGCGCGTGGGGTCATTCCGAGGCCGCCTTGATGCTTGGTGGTTTCCCCCTGGTGACCTCTCACTTGGACTGTGGTCAGGTGGACTGGCCGCGCGGAGCATCAGGCCGGATCCCCAGGCCGAGATTGTGGCGAGGAACCCTAGCAGCAGTCCGAGCTCTCCTCTCGACTTCGCTCCTGACCTGGCCAATGTTTAGCCTCGCGGTCCGCAGACTCGGACTCTGGACTAGGCAAGGAAGCGCGGAAGGATAGGATTCTCCCACGCTGCATCTGTACCGTCGGGCTGCGCTGCGCAGCCCTCGTCAGCAGGTCCAGCACTGACCACTGCTGCCGTAGTCTTTTTCGTGGGCTCTGGAATGGTATCCTCGTCGTCTGGTGCCGTTCCCGTGCCACGGGGGTGGAGCCTCGTAGTGTGGTGGGTGGGCTCGTGCATGCTAGGCGTCTCTTCTGCGACATGGCCTGCTTCTTCTCGTCGTCAAGTCTGATATGAAAATGTGGCAGCTTTCCCCTCGGAGGCCTCGCGCATCTCCTTGAACATAATTATGTGGGCTGCGCCACCGTTGACGCTGGGGAGAGCATTCTCCTCTCCTCCCCTTTCTCTTCTTCTCTCCTCTGCTGTCCACCTGCTCTGTTCACCCTTATCCTCCTCCGCCTCCTCCTCTAACTGTTTGTCCTCCATTTCCTCTTCTTCTCATCCCCTTCGCCACTGCTCATCCTCCCCCCCTCCTCTCCTCCTCCTCTGCTCCATCTCTTCTCCACCTCCCTTCCTCTGCTCCTCTCCTCCGCCCGTCCTCCTCCTCCTCCTCGTCCTCCTCCTCGTCCTCCTCCCCCTCCCCCTCCCCCTCCCCCTCCTCCTCCTCCGTCTCCTCCTCCTCCTCCTCCTCCTCCTCCTCCTCTTCCTCTTCCACTGAACAGGAAGCCAGAGACTACTGAGAATACTGTTTAGTCGCGGCGATGGCGGTCGCTCAGCACGGGGTGGCCTAAACGCGTCGCGCTTTTGCCAATTGACACCCGCTGGGAATACAAGAGGTCCCCCCCAACGGGTTCAGAGAAGATGGGATCGGAACGTCACACCGCATCGCCGATGCATCATCGGTGCACCGGCGACGTCGTCACGGAGAACATCGGACTCCAGATCCTTCAGGCCGTCATCATCGCGTGGCCCGTTCAGCGCTGCCACGGGACGACAACGTCCTTCTCTCCTCCTTCCAAAGAGGTCTGGCGGCTCGAAAAATCACGACGGTCTGCTTTCACCATTTTGAAAGAGCCTTCGGAAGCTGGCTTCGGACACCGCGGCAGTCACAGGACGACTCAGGATGTCAAGGGGGTTCAAGGGATGGGGCCGAGATTTCGGTGGGGGCGCATGTCTCAAAAATAGCGCGCCAGATCCCTGGGCCTGAAGATTAGAAAGACGCCAAATACCACGACCACGGTCCCCATCAGGCCCACAAAACACCGGGATAAAAACTCGGATGAAAGCGCACACCGAGCTCGCGAGACACAAGCCAGCAGGAAGCCTAGGATGAACAACAGCAAAGTCGATTGGCGAAATAATAATGAGAGGGGAAGGAGGAGTGGGAGGAGAAGGAGGATGAGGATGAAAAGTAGGAGGAGGTGTTCGTCGTCGCCGTCACCGTCGCCGCCGTCGTGGTCCTACTCAGTATCCGAGGAGGGAGCGAAGGAGGATGATCTGGAAGATGGGGTGGAGGGGGAGGAGGACACGACGAGGAGCAGGAGGAGGAGGGAAAAGGGTGAGAAGGACGAGGACGAGGACGAGGAGAAGAGGAAGGACGACAATGAGGAGGGGCAGGACGACGAGGAGGCAGGTGGAACAGGCGACGAGGGCGGAGCCTCCTGGCTGGCAGGAGGAGCATGGGCGGGCTGACAGCAGAACATGCCGCCCGCGGCACACAGCACCATGTAATAGCGGTGCACACATGCATACACGTGTATACACGGTCAAGGCGTTCTGTCTAGCGTGTAGCAGCGGCGGCCCCAGCGACACGCTATGCCCTGCGAGCTGATAGCGTGTCGCCCTGCTTCGTGGGTCGGAGGGATGGAGAAAGCTCGAAGCATTGACGCTCCGAGACCGGGACGTGGTTAGCGTGTCGCGCAAGAGCGGTGAGGGGGGGGGGCAGAACCGGCGGAGCGCACGTTAAGAAAACGTCCCCGACAATGTACGAAACAAATATTCCTCCACGGAGCGGGTGCACAACATGCTTCACGATGAGACTCAAGACCGCTGGGCAAGCCGTGAACGTCAGTCGTGACGTTTCCAGGAGCGCAGATGCCACAGCAGAAGTGATAATCAAGGGGGGAGACAGCGGCAAGCAAGCAGGAAGGCCAAGAGAGAGAACGTTATTTACATATGTACAAGCACATGTCTGTATGTCTGTAGGTAGGTAGATAGGTAGGTAGGTATGTCTGGTTGCATGTATACGTGTATGTATGTATGTTTGTACGTACGTACGTACGTATGTATGTATGTGTTGGCCGACCATCTATGTATATATACTGTTAACATGAATAATCATAATAAATGGGGAATGCTGAAAATAATATTAATGATAAAAAGACTGAGCGAGAGAAAGAGAGAAAGAGAGAGAGAGAGAGAGAGAGAGCGTGCGCCAGGGGAGGTGCCTGGCCACCGCCAGGAGCAGGTTGGACAGAGCCTGTGCGACCAGTCATCATGCTCCCCTTCCTCTTCATCCCTCATCGCCATACCTGCTCCTCATCATCTGCCCCTCCTGCCCCGTTCTGCACATAGAATGTAAAAGAAAGAGGGGGTACCGAACTGTGACGCGCATCTCTCTGGCACTCGTTGGACCCGCGGCATCGGTTGATAAACCGTTTGGGGCGCCTTCTAGGTAGCGTTCCTGAAACCCTCGATGCCCCCCTCGGAGACATCCAAGATGGGACATCCAAGAGGGGGGTTCGCATATCATGGCCCGATGTACGTGCGCGGCCCAGGGTGGGACCAGGGGACGCACTGAAACAATACAAAGAAGAGCGGGGAATGATGTCTGGGGAGATCTATCGCCGCCCCGGCCACGATATTCCCCACCCCCTCGTCATCTCCCCGCCCTTGGACGCCCCCGCCCCCCCCCCCCTCCCCGACCCCGTTGACCTCGAGGTGTCGCATGTTAGAGACAGAAGTTTGGCTGGAGAAGAGTCGCCCGACACGGCTCCTGGGAAAAAGAAATGTAAGCATCTAGCTGGGATCTCATCCCAACCCAACCTTCAGGAAAACCGATAATGGCATAAACATAACACTCTGACGTCCGCGCGGATTCCTCGGATCGGCGCAAGGGTTCCCGAGCGGCGCCTCTGGCGCAGCCCCTGGCGCACTCCGAGCGCCGGGAAGGGGGGTCCAGCGCCGATCCGAAAACGCCGCGCGATTTCAGAGTTTGAAGCTCAGGCCAACGCTTGCTCCCCGAACATTGGGATAAACCCTCTTTTTCTATGAACAAAAAAAGAGCGGACCACTGCAGATGACCATGGGGGCAAAGGGGGCCCGAAAGGGAAGCACCACGCAATAAAACTGTCACGAATTACGGCCCGCAGATGCGGAGGGAGGAGGGGCAAGAGGCAAGGAGCAGCGAGGGGGAGGAACCGAAGGGGCAACGGCGCTATGCGGACAACCCCTGTGGCCCAAACGGCAACTCATAGAATCCAAAACCGCAAGGAGAACCCCTCCTCTACGAAACCCCCGTTGACTGAACCACCCCCCCGCTCCCGGGCCCCAGCTGGCGCCTGCGGTCGCATCTCGCGCAGCCGCATGCGCGCGGCCTCCGCCAACAGGCCCACCGCCCCGCGGTGGCCGTCGCAGGCCTGTGCGGCGTGGCCTCGTCGACGACGTCGTCGTCGTCGTCGACGTCATCGCCGTCGTCGACGTCGTCGTCGTTGTCCTCGTTCTCCTCGTCGCCGTCTACGTTCTCGTCGACGTCGTCGTCGCCCTCGTAAGCGTCATCCTCGCCGACGCCGTCTTCGTCCTCGTCGCCGTCGTCGAGGATGAAAGACCGAGGAAGCATCGGTGCGTCCTCGACGTCATGGACACAACGCACCTCGGGGCAGGTCTGGGGGTCGTCCTGGTCGTCGTCAGCGTGGTCGTCGCCGAACACTCACTTCAACATAATCCGTATTTCTGCTCAATGGAAACGTTTCCAGGCGCTCTCGCCTGGAGACCGGCCTCATGTCTTTGAAAGCTAGACTCCCGTTCGCGCGCGGGGTTTCATGTCGAACCATGGCCCTTGAAGGCCCAACTACGAAATACGACGACAACGTGAGGCTCCCGCTTTGCACTTCATCCCAATTCACTCCAAGACAACCTGGGAAGAGAGACCTCCAAACTCAGGAACGGCGCTCTCGCTCAAGACTTTCAAGACTTGCTCTAAAGCCAACCAACTACGTCGACAACCAGTCTGTCTCAGCGCTATCGCCAGAGACTTCCTCCCAGTCAACTTGAAATGGTGAAGGCCCAAATGCGACGACAACGGCGACCACTCGATACGTCCTGGCAATTTCCTCCCACGCGACCTGGTCAGATGCGTTTACACTCAGGAGTGGCGCTCTCGACCGAGATTTCACGAACCCCCCTCACCGCAATCTGCCGAAATCAGCCCATCGACCTCGCCTGGCGACAATCCTGGCGTGTCTCTCGTTCTGGCGCGATTTGTGACAATCCTGCGTATAGGCTTCGACAGCGGCCCCCAGCGGCCGACAACGAGACAAAGCCTCGATCCTCGACCCCCCTCTGCGAACTGGCCCCGCCACGCGACCCCCCCTCCGGCACGGGGCGCCCAGGCCGTGGTCGCGAGGGCCCACGCGACGTTGGACAGCGCCTCTCGCGGGGAGAATCGCGTGGACTGGGGACCTCTCAAGTGGCGGGTTCCGGAAGCCCTAAACCCAGAGACGTTTCAACCTCTCGGGGCGGCACGTTTTACTTCAGCCGGCTTCCGCCACCCTTCCGCCAGCTTCCGCCGGCGGAGGCTGCCTCGTTTTACTTCCGCCGCCTTCCGCCGAAGAAGAGATGGCAAAGCATTCGACACTCGAAGGCGAGGCCCTTTCTGGAACGCCTCATGGTGTCAAGGCAGATGGGGTCGGAAGACCCAGCCGCACCGCCGACGCGTCAGCAGCGCATCGGCCACGCCGGGATGGAGAAGAACGGCCTCCAAACCGTGCCGCGTCGCCGATGCGATGGCGGTGCGGCGCGATCATCCAACCCCATTGGCTCTGGCCCCACCTCGGAAACCTGGAGGGCGCATGGGCAGAGTAAAACTCGCACGCGCTCCCTGCCGGGGGGTGGGCGACGGCGGAGCCGTGCTGAGGACTCAGGAGCGATCTGTATGTCTAAAGATATGTGTACAAATACGTGTGATATGGAACCACGCGAAAGCACTGACCAGATTATTCTGTCATACTCTGACGCCAACTCGTGCTCCTATTCGTTCCTCATTATTCCTCTACCCTCTCCTGACCGTCCTACCCCATATCCTCCACATTCTGCTTCGCCTCGCCTTCTTCTTCGGCGTCTACTGTTCATCCTTCCCGGCTCCTTCCCCCCTAGTCGCGCTCGCTTCATGCGCACTGACGTCCTAGATCATTAGTTTCCTGATAAATGCCTGCTGCGATGAACTCTGTACGCCTCTTCCTGCTCCTCCTCTCCTCCTCCTTCGCCTCCTCCTTATCCTCTTGATGATTATACTCTCCCCCTGTGGCGCCGGCCAGCGAAGAGGCACACGAAGGCTTGAACTGGGAGTGCGCGGGGGGACGGACGACGTTGGGAAGTGCATCCAAAGTAGATCCAAGAGGTCCCACGAAAGCCCCAAAGAGCGCACCACAGCAAATTACGCGAAGGCGCGCACACGCGCGCATAATTTGCTCCACGGCCCTCGTAGGCGCTGTGTTTGAAACCTGTCGGGGGCATCTGGACTAGCCAGCCATCGGAGGCACATGAGGGCATGCATGTGAGGAGCCTCTTGGGAAACTACAAAAAACACAACCGAATCAATCACCCCAAACATTGGTCCAGGCCGACTATACTTCACACCAACCATCTGTGGTTACGGAATCGGTGCTCCCAGGTTTGCGGAGAAATGCTAGCTACGAAGCGAAAGAGGGGGACAACGACGAGGAGTAAGAGTAGACGGGAGATGAGGATGCTGATGCGAAAATGACCGAAATCGAATTAAGAGACATGCGTTGCGTGACGGGTGAAAGACATCGCACCTGGATCCGGGGTGTCTGCGTCCCCCATGGTCTGGCCGGCCACTTGTACAGCTAGGCGTCACACCGCAGGAGTCAAACATCAAAGCTGTACTGCTCAACTGCAGTCAATCCAATACCACAGATGCGAAAAAAACCCTTCTAGTATCCCTATAACGTAAGGGCGGTGTGAATGCAAGTGGAGGCGGCGAAGAAAAAAACAGATAGAGAGAGAGGAACAACAAACAGAGACACGGAACACACAAACACTGCGTGCAATCACTCGCCAATTGTCTGCATATAGGAACAACTGATGAGTTGAATGAGTTTGTCCCCTACGGTTCCTCTTGGGGGCCTCTTGGAGGATTGCCCGCGATAGGGGGGCCCTGGCAGTGGAGCTGGTCTTGGAGCTCTTGGTGCGATATGGAAGATTATCGCTGGATCTTCTTTACTCGCGCGGCGAAGTGCGTAGCTCTAAGGCCAAGGGCCCTAGTTCGAATAAAAACGGCGGCGATAGGGATAAATACAAACAGGGAGAAATAGAGCAAATTCGCCGGCCCAACGGGCCAGGGCGTGCTAAGATCTCCGGTAACTGGTTAACAGTATTAACAGTATTTCTAGTTCGCGCGCGCGGGGCGGCCCCTGGGGGTCCCCCGGCGAAAAGTACCCCGACCAACGCCCGGTCGCCGCCCGACCAAGTCTACTCAGAGATGGTTTTCCTTCTGGGTGCGGCCTCTCAGGCTCCCCAGAGCGCGCTCAGAGTGCCCCCAGAGGCCCCCAAGACTGCCCAAGAGGCCCCCGAGACGCCCAAAGAGCGCTCGAAGACGCCGAAGATGACCCCAAGACGGCCCAAAAGGCCCCCAAGACAGCCCAAGAGGCCTCCAAGACGCCCCAAGAGCCTTCCAAGAGGCCTCCGAAGAGAGCCCCAAGAGGCCAAAATCGTTGATTTTCATTGTTTTTTTCGATGTTTTTTGTGTTCTGGCTTTTTCGGCTTCCGGACGCTCCAAGACGGCCCAAGAGGCCCCCAAGACCGCTCCAAGACGGCCCACGAAGCTCCCAAGACGGCGCCGAAACGACCCAAGAGAGCCCTCAAGACGGCCCAAGTGCCGCCCAAGACGGACCAAGAGGCCCCAAGACGGGCCCAAGAGGGACTCAGGAGGGATACCGAGAACTCAAAAATGGAGCCCTCCGTCCCAGAAGGCGCCCAGGAGGTCCCAAAGAGGCCCCAAGAGGCCTCCAAGAGGCCCCAAGATGTCGCCAAGAGGCCCCAGGAGACTCCCAGGAGGCCCAAAAGAAGCCCCAGAAGGCTTCAAACATGTCTCCCAGGCGCCCCCGAACGGCCTTTCAACAGACCCCAAGAGGCCCCCCAAAGAAGCATCTTGACGACGACTCTATTTCGCCCCATCGAGAGACGACCCCCAGGGAACTGCTTCACCATCAAAACTCCCCACGCAACGCGTCCGAACGACACCCGCCCCCAAGAGCGCAACATGGGCAACGAACACACAGACAAAAACCAGCGATGCCATATCACGGGCCGGCGGAATGAGCGAAGCGATTCAATAATGAAACCACAGGGCCCCCGAGGCTTCTGGGGGAAACCCTCTCGGGCCTCTTACATTCCTGGGGAATGAGCTTGATTCACACTCCTCCTAGTCGCCATCTCGGGCGCCTGAGCGGCGACTATAACAAGTCACTCGCCGGAAACTTCATTGCAAACAGGGAAACGATTATTGAGATACTATATAGCAAACAAACGGCTTTCACGGCATGCTAACAGGCTGTCCTTCGGGGCGATTTAACGGGTGCTCTGCACGCACCTGTAACAATACATTCTTCGTGCAACCATCTTAGGTGTGATCATCATCGCAACTATGAAAACTGTGCACACTGAATGAAGCTACGAAATGCGGAATTGCGTGTGGAAATTTACACCAGGTGTGACATCTGAACCGCAATGCGGACTTGCATGACTCTTTAGCTGGGTATGAAATCTGAGCAGCAATGCGGACTTACGTTGAATCGCCGGGTATAAAATCTGAGCAGCAATGCGGACTTATACGTTGAGTAGCCGGGTATGAAATTTGAGCGGCAGAGTATTTGCCGGTTCGAGCGGCACACCTGCCGTCCGGAAACCAAGCGGGGTTCACTTTTCCTTCTTTGGCTTCGTCGGTTTGTCCAGCAGGTCGGGTCCTCGCCAGCAGTTTCTGCCTGTGAGCTTCCACCAGCGGCCCATGAGATCGTTCATCACGCTCTCCGGGAAGATCGTGAAATCGGGGCTGCTGCGACGGTAGTGCCGGAGCAGCCACGACGCATGCTTCTTGCAGGTCTTGCACGTGATGTAGACACTATGCGGATTGTGCCCGGTAGCGACATCATGATGGGGAATGCCGCTCACGCAGGTGAGCATGCCGTTTGGCTGCACTGTTGGTGAGGAGCCGTTCCACAATACAACACTGGCTGACGTGGCTGACACTGAGCTCGATGAACTCATCACAGTGACGACGCTTGGCGATGCAGGGGCCGAACGTCCCTGAGATCTCGCTGATCTTGATCGTCCAGATCCCCGTGCTGATGTTGCGGTACATGGTGATGGCGGTGCGCTGGCAAGGGTGGTTCTGGCGGCAACAGTGGCGGCGGCGGCTGTTGAATCGCAGCCGATGCTACTGAACTCGATGCCTGCGAACTGCTGAAAACGTCCGCGTGGGACATCGTGATGTCACCGTCGTGATCACGGTCCTCTGGGATGGTAGGCGGCACGTTGCGGCGCCGGCCAAGCGTGCGGCCGTCCCAGCCAGGGTGCTCGCCCATAGCCTTCGCCTCGGCGACGCTCTCCTCGGTGGCGATCGCATTGTTCTGCCTCACGATCGTCCAAAGCGTCATGAAGATGCCGAAACCGATAGTCATGCCGAGGACCAGCGTGAACGTCAGCAGGCAGATGTAGAAGCTGTAGTCCAGCACAGTCGGCGTAGGCTGTCCCTTGACCTTGCCGAGGCAGTTGAACAGGACTGAGGCGAGCATGGCGGCGCGCGGCTGCCGGGCCCCGTAGATGTGCTTGCGGGCCCCGAAGAACGACAGCAGGGCGCCCACCTCCATCGCCTTCGTCAAGGCGTCCGCGACCATGGCCCAGGTCGGGATCCAGCTGAGCTTGAGCGCACTGTTGGGGTGCACGGCCTCCCTGATCATGGAGGCGACGATGCGAAACCGCTTGTCGGTCGACTGGCCCACATCTGAAGCGATGTGCGTCACGAGACCCTTGCTGTCGCAGTAGATCTCCCCAGGGCGCTTGTCGGCGAGAACGTCGATATGATTGAGCGCCGTCTTGGGGTTGTAGGCCTCGGTCAGCGGCTGTCGGAACCAGATGTTGGTCTCCGAACCCTCGAGGGTGGCGTAGCCCTCGGCAGCGAGGGTCGACTTCACCGAACTCTTGACTGCGCCAGAGTGCCAGGCGACGGGCAGGCACATATCGCAACGGCCGCCGACGACGTCACGCGGGCGATGGGTGAGCCCCATCACCATGCCCCACTGGCTCTTGACGCCGTCCACGTTGGCGAACGCGGCGTCGCTGAAGCACGCGGCGATGGTCGTCTTCAGGTCGACGAGCTTGCGCTTGAGCACGATCGCGAAGTTCGCAGTG